GACACAGGACCGGCCCCGCACAGCCACACGGGCCCGGCACCGGGAGTGGCCCTGCCCAAGGACACGGCACCGACACCGGGACCCAACATGGACACGGGACTGACAGAGGAGCAACATGAGACCGGGACCTGCCTCGAATATGGACACGGCACCATTCCCGCACACTGACATGGGACCGGCCCCGCACAGCAACACGGCACCGACACCAGGATCGGTCCCATACACTGACACTGACCAGCCCTGCACAGCGACACGGGACCCACAGAGGACCTAAACGGAACCGGAACCGGCCCCGCACAGCGACCCGGTACCGACCCCGAACACGGACATGGCACCATCCCCGCACATTGACATGGGACTAGCCCCGTACAGCGACACGGGACCCACAGAGGACGTACACGGGACCAGGACCAGCCCCGCACAGCGACCTAGCACCGACACTGACCCCGCACATGGACATGGCACCATCCCCGCACACTGACATGGGACCGGCCCCGCACAGCGACCCGGCCCCGGCAGCTCGGCACGGAGCAGCCTCAGCATCATCTACGTTTGACTGTAGCTCCGGAAGGTGGCTGAAGCCCGGACACACGGACCGCGGGGAGTGCAATGGGCAGTGCAGGTGCTGTGACCCGGCAGGGACAGTGCAGGGACGGTGCCGGTACAGTGATCCGGCAGGGACAGGGACAGTGCCAGTGCTGTGACTCCGCGGGAGCAGCGCCAGAGCCATGACAATGTCCAAAACCGGCAAGACCCATCCGCTCCATCCCCACTCCCCCTCACCAGCTGCGCCGCTCACTCCGCACTTCCCGCATCGCCGGCCGGCGCACACCGGTGACGTCACCCAGCCGCGCACACGTGACGAGAAGGGCGGCGCGGGATGATGACATCATGAGGCGCGGTGGGCGGGCAGAGTCCGTCCTAGTGCCCGTCCTCATCCCGGTCCTAGACCTGGACACCGTCCCCATCCTGATCTCGGTCCCGGTCCCAGCGGGATGCGGCGGTGTCCGCCCGCCCTCGGTTGCATCCCTCACCTCGGGCCAGGCCGGCGCAGCCGCGGCGCGGGCGGGTCCGTGTCCCGGAGCACTCGGAGCCGTGTGTCCCGTGCCGTGTCCTGCTCCAGCGTCCCCTTCACACGGCAGAGCCCTCACAAAATGTAGTGCGGTTATTATGGATGGTAGGAAAGGGCCAGAATGTGCATCTGCGCTCATGTTTCCTCTCCTGTCCGCGGCATTTCCTGGAAACACGGGGAAAGGCGTGGTGAAAATTGCTGCTGCAGCGTGCCCGGCTCGCTCCTGTCCCAGCAGATGTCCCCAGCGGCCCGGGCAACGCTCCGAGAGCAACTCCCGAATTCTGCGCCTGCAAAACCACGTCCACTCCCAGCACACCTCCGTCCCAGAACATCGCCGAGAAATCCCCAGACTCTCGTTGTGTTTGCTGGAAGCTCCGTGTCCTCTGACCTTAGTTGTGAACTGGAAAAAACTGAAAATATTTTGCAGGAAACCACGCCTGAAACATTCTCTTGAGCCTTGGCCTCACGTTGGTGGGAGGCTTCTCCATTTCTTACCGTAATTTGTTTTCCTCTGCTTCCCTCTCATCCAGAGCCACTGGAATTGCCCGCTCAGTGAAATAAACTGAGACATTTTCTTAATTTCTTAAGTTTCTTAAATTAGGCACTATCCCATTTCCCTGTTTTATCTAATAGCTATAAAATGTGGCTATCATAAATCCACTGTCTTTGCTGTTAACACGGTTACACAAAGATCACGGGTAAAATGACTTGAAATAAAAAAAATATTCAGGCAGCTTTATTTTCCTGTGTTTATCTGTTTGAATGTTCTTTATTTTTACAAAAGGTTTTTTCTTACAGTCACCATCATTTTTAAACCATTTTCAATGATCGTTTAAATAATTTTCAATGATCTTGCTGAGGTTTTGTAATGTATTGGTACGTTTTAAGGTCAGAAAAGGCAATTTTCATGATCAACGGGACAGATTTCTTGATAACTCCCAGCAGTGCTTGGGTAAATGTGTTTTTCAGCACTAATAACTGTTGCTGACTTTTATTTCCTCAGGGATCATCTAAATTACCATCCATTTTGGCCAGAGTTGCTGTTGCAAATCAGAATAGAAAAAAACAATTTAATGGCTGTGAACGTCAGCAATTGTTTGTAAAGGCCAGGGATTAGAGCATGTGTTTCAAAAGCTTCTGTTCTCTACTCAAAAAAGGTGCATTTTACTTCTTGTGCAGCTGTTCCTCCTGCAGTGAAAAAGTTGTCCGAATTCTGCAATGAATTTTTATGTTTTATGTTCTCTCCCTGCATCTTGCCGTATTTCTCCTAGATTTAAATTTCCTAACTGCAGTTTTTCCTGTGTGCAACTTGAAAGCAAAGTCAATCTCTGAACCTTGCATAATACACTGAAATAGACTGAATTTAAGTTTATTCCTTTAGCACATTTCCCAGTTTTATTAAAATACAGATATATCAGGGCTTCATTTAATATTGAATTCTTTAAATACAGTTAAGAAAGTGTTCAGGATGTGGGAAATGCATCAGCACAACAAAAGGAATGAGAGGACTTTATTTTTTCTTTGTAACATCAAAGCCAGCCCAGCTTTCAGTTGCACTTCAACATCTTCTTGGTCTCTTTTCCGACACTGAGTATTCTTTTACTATTTTTTTTAAATATTTGACAGCAAGATTTATGAAATACAATTAAATAAAAAGGGTAGAAAAGGTAAACATATTTCATGTATAATCAGCTATATTCTGCAAGTCTAGAAACAGCAGCACACCCTTCTAAAGCAGATGGTGAGAGTGTATTAAGCATGGAAATTCTTTTGGGACATAAAAATTGTACTTTTTTTCCAGCAAAGATAATGTACAGTTAATATAAGCACGATATCAAAGGGATACAGTAGGATACACACTAAAACTTGACATTTGATGTAAAGTTTGTGATTTGGAGGAGGATATAAATAAATAGGGAAGTTTTTTAAAACAGTTGGAAGTTCTTTCTTTGACTGTGCAAAGTGCCTCCACTTGCAAATGTCACTTCACAAGCAATGTCTTTAATGGAGTAAGTTGAAAGAAAAAAAATGCTTTTGGCTAATCACAGAAATGTGATTTCTTCCTTTTCTGTAGCTGAATAATTTATAATCGCTGAAAACATCTATTTGTATCTCCATATCTGTGATGGAAGTGGTGATCTCAAATGACAACACTGTAACAGTTCATATATTGACCTAGAATTTTTCAGATTCTTGATCTGAAGTTGCTCTTCAAATGTGTTAAAACTATCAAATGCACATTTCCCACTTTTACTAACACTTCTTTATAGATTACAGTTTCCCAGAGTCTTTTACTGCACCCATCCTTTGACACTGGAACGTTTTGTTTGCTTGAACTCCTGAGCTGCACTTGAGCTCCATAACCCCAGAGCAGCATCAAGGAATGTGAAGGATCTTTTTAAAAGTCTTCTTGAAATTGTGGTTGCAGAGAGGATAGAGGAATGGGTTCAAGGTGGAGTTGATGTAGCCGAGCCAGATGGTGAATCTGTGCAGTTCTGAGAGCTGCTCGTGGTCGTGGAAGGTTACCACCATGAAGAGCACGAAGTAGGGGATCCAGCAGAGCATGAAGGCTGCCATGATGACCCCCAGCTGCTTGGCTGCCTTCCTCTCCCTGTTGCCGTGCCGGTGGCTGCTCCTGGGATGGCTGTGCAGGGTGTGCCACGTTTTCCTCAGGAGCGTCAGGCCCCTGGAATCCCTGCGCTCGGTCCTTCCCTGGGGACAGCAGGCTCCTGGGGGGCTGGGCTGCTCTGCTCGGGGCGTGACCTCAGTGAAGGTGTGGTTGTCGGATGCCACGCTGGAGTCACTGTCCTGGCTGTCGGGCTGCTCGTTGTTCCCGGCTTTTCTCGTGGCACACACCCCCTTCTTCCCTGCTTTATCCAAGCCAGGCTCGGGCTTGGCTGTGCTGAGAGAGAAACAGCTCCACTTCGGGACCTTCCCATTGCTCAGTGCCTTGGAAGCCTTGTCAGCATGGCTGAAATGAAGCTCTGCCTCCACTCTTTGGGGCTTTGGGGAGTTCTGCTCGTCTGCGCCAGGGCTGTTCACACCTAACATTTGCTTCTGATGGCAAGTATTTTTCTCGTCCTTGGTCTTGGCCTGATGCACGTTTTTTTCCACGGCAGACCAGTAAGATCCATTGGTGAGCTCTCGGTGCTGGCAGTGTTTCCGAACAGCTCTGAAGATTTTGCAGTAGAACCACAGCATCAGCAGGGAGGGCAGGTAGAAGTTGAAGATGGCCGTCACCACCTTAAACCAGGTGACTTGGAAGAACTCGGTCTCACACTTGTCCCTGGCCACCCTCCTTTGCCCGTTGTTGGCAAAGACGTGCCAGCCCAGGATGGGGATGACCCAGGTGAAGGAGAGCAGCCACACGGCCAGGATGAGCAGCGAGGCTCTCATTTTGGTGCGGTACTTGAGGTACTTGAGCGGCTGCTGCACCGAGCGGTAGCGGTCCATGCACAGGATGAAGAGGTTGAAGATGGAGGCCGTGCTGGCCACGTAATCCATGGAGAGCCAGAACAAACAGGCTGGCAGCCCCAGGGGCCACTCGGGGCTCAGCAGGTACACGATGTGCAGGGGCATCACGGCCGCCCCCACGATCAGATCCGCGATGGACAGGCTCACGATGTATAAATTCCCCACGGTCTGCAGC